TGCTTAAACACCCCTGAGGCCCTGTATAATTTTCCAAAAGGACAATGGAAAGAACCATTTCTGCTATTCGATATCGTTTCGTATACTATTTTTTTTATGAAAATTGAGAAGCTGAAATTAAACTCAAACGCGATTTAATAAACCACACATTAAAGAAACAATGTATAATAGGTACTTAGAGAGATGGGCACAGAGTACAGGCCGTTTACTTAATGAAATCTACTTTAATATTGAAAACTGCGTCATGTTGTAAATATTTAACTTAATCCTATAAAAATTACCTTCAGCATCCCCCTTGAGAAAGTAAAAGCCAATATATCACACTCCTTTTCATTATCGTAAAAGTCAAAGTTCGTTCCAAAATTAGAAATTGCTCGTGAGCTGAAAATTACCTCATATCGATACACGTGTGCGGTGCGCCTTTCTGGTTTCCGATATGTTGGTGAGTAATAAATGGATCTTTGCCTCTCACCTACCTATCTCCTCACCCCATATTTCTTTTTCAAAGAACTGCCAGGTTTCGACTTTTCTTGACACTGTATTCAGTGTATTTATACCGGAAGTAACAGAAAGGGTATAACAAGCCGAAAGGAGGTAAAGGTACTCATGAAACTAAACAACTTTCCCCATGGAACGTGGGTCGAAATATGAAAAGAAAATGTCTTCCCGTAGTAAATCTATCAGTTAAATCCGCGATTTTGTACAAGAGAGTCTAATTTTTGTTTTCATATATCAACCCATGTTCCATGGGGAAAGTTGTTTCCTTTCGGCTTGTTATCTCCTTTTTGTTACTCTCGGTACAGTTTCTGTTTAGTAACAAAATGTCTCTCACAGTTAACTATTATTTTTGCAATCTTAGGAAGAAATCTGTTTCATATTTTTGTTAAATGTTTTTACCAATAATTATACTTTCTTACTTTTTATCCCGGCAACATTAAACTTTAAGCTTAAAGGCCACCTTTGTCCGTAAAATGTGTGTTAGTAATACGAATATTAATTCCCGTTAATGGTCGGAAGGCCAGATGGGTCCGGGGCGGGCTCGGCCTCACTCATGCCACAAAGTAACTATTGGTGGGCCCCCAATACAGAGAGACGGCTACAAGGAAACGTCGGTACACTCACACACAAATCTACACGCCGTCGTTTTCGCGCGATCTCGAACCGTTAAGAACCGGCTAGTAGCGAGTTTTAACAGCGTTTGGTGCGCGTGGACGGTCAAATGACAACTCACAAGTGTAAATATTTTTGTAATATAGCGTGTCAAGTGTAACTTTAAAGGTACTTACGGCATTTCATATAATTAGAAAGAAAACATAACAACCCTAGAGTGTAGGTATAATTAATGATCAGAAAAACAAGCGAGCTGTCCTCTGTATTATCTGTCTTGTGCTCATGCGTTTAAATATTACTTCCAGCTGTATTGCTGCGTACAATAATAAACGTATATCACTTACAATAACTAAAATCAGCAATGTATGCTTGGCTATTATTGATATTCCAGGCTGAAAACGCGCTAGTAGGGATAGAGTCCTTAGGCAAATATTTACAACCCGGCTAAATTATAGTGTAATAAAGCCGTAAAGGGACCTTAATATATTTGAGAAGTAGGGAAATATTACAACAGTAAAATTAATTAATTTAAGTAAATTATTTTTCATCGAAGCTACGTCAGTTGGTTTGTTACTAACTGGCCCGGCTTCCATTAGCGGCGTGAGTTAATCCCGAATTTAGTCAAAATACTTCGGATTGTCATACCGGTACCAAATTTTAGTGTGATAATAAACATGACATAAACTATAGAAAACCACCGGGAGACAAGCTGATGGGGGCTTGTCTCCCGCAGAAATGACGTCATCAAGATGGCGGCCGCCACATTTAGAAAACTGCAAATTATTTGAAAACCATAAGTTGCATTGTCATGTGCATGGTATCAAATGAAAGCTAATTAATTGTTCTACATATTTGTCTTGAACTACGACCAGGTCCATAGCATAATTTCGTAATTAAAAGACTTTATGTAAAAAAAAAACAGCAAATAATTTATTTGTGTGGCTAAAGAATCCAAAATATTACTTTTTTGCAAAAGTGACGTAGGAGAAAAGTAACGCTCAATGCAATACTTGGCTAAAAAGTTCTAAAAGCAATTTATTGTTTGAATAAAGAGACCTTAAGTTACACTGATTTGAGTACAACGCTGTCTCTTTCCGCGCCACTACTTTTTGTTGTATATGCACGTGTATGGTGTCAAATGAAAGGTTATTAATTGTTCTGCATTATTCTTCTGAAGCACAACCAGCTACATAGCATAGTTAAAAAAAATTTAAAACTTTGAAAACTATTTTTTGTCCCCTCTATGCACAGCCCGACTGGCCTTATATCAGACACTTTCTGGCTATTCATAAAGATCGCCCCAATAAAAAATACTTTTCAACTCAAAAATCCAACGGATTTTGACACCCACCCACAGCAAGAATTGAGATGACATCTAAAAAAAATATTTTCAAATATTTTATTGTTCCTTCAAACACTATTCGTTACATTTAAATCGCAGAATGCCGACGTTAATAGAACGGATAAATGATGAAATTCTTCTTTGTTTCCTTTTGCAACCAATTTAATTGAAATTTACTGGAAATGATAAATGGAACAGCATTTATTATTATAAATGGAATTCAAATACTGAAAACCAGTAAAGTACTGAACAGGCAGTGAAAACAAATAGCGCGGAAAGCTTTCAATGCAAGCTATTTCATGAAATTAAATATTTATCATTTTAAATTGAAAATGTACGTGATCGATGAATTGAAAACATTTTTTTCCTCGTAGAGTCACCGACGACCTTGTGATGCTGGCTTATAATAGCATCTTATTTCCTCATGGGTATTGTAAAAGGCGACTAAGGGGTGAATCCAGGGAATGGGCAGCAGCGTTCCCTGCGAATATCTATAACACCTTGGACAGCGTTCTCCAATCCGCATAACGTAAGAAGCGACTATGGGATTTGAGAGTTGATGTATTGCAATTTTAGGCAACAGGCTGACAACCTGTCGCTATGGTGACAAACGTTCTTCTGAGTGACTCACAAGCTTTTGTCAGACGTGGTGTTTATGGCCATTTTTTACAGCCGTTTGCGCTCTTCTTTCCCCGCAAGTGATATAGGCGTGAGTGAGATATGTATTACCTAGTTCCAGTAACGACTAAGTATAACGCAGGATTCCTATCCACACTTCGTACGTTTCTTTCACTAAATAATAATTCTTTCAATCAATTAATTAAATTATTAGACCTTCTTTCCTGTGATGCACAGAACTCTAACATGCATTGTATTAAATATCGGTATAATAATTGTAAAAAGCGGTAAGCGGTAAGCGGTTCTTATCCGTTAAGGACTACTATGTGTAAAAGTGTCTGGGCGTATCGGAGGCGTCACTAATTGTAACTTATTTGTCTCTGAAAGGACCTGGGCGTGTACACACTTTGATAATTTAGCCTTCCCTTGGTCGTGCTTTTGTTTGCTTACTTTGAAAAAAAAATATATAGAGCCGTACAAAATTTGCGTTGCTTTGAAGAGAAGTTTTCTGAAGTTTGTATTTGAAGGCAGTCGTTGAAAATACCTTCCTACCGAGTTGAGTAAGATAAAAAGTTGTACATGTACAAGACAGCTGGCACAAACACAATAAACAGGGTTTAGTTCCAAGCTCTAAGGTTCCAAGTCAGTATTATTTATACAGTGTGTTACCGGCAAGCGGGGATTTATTCAAACTGGTGAATTTAGACATATATAAAAAAAAATGGGGCCATATGTGTAATCACGAAAAAAAGACTGACTTTTCTATGGAACAGCTGATTGATCTTTCTTATTTTGACGCTGATTTATTTACAGTGCGGATTATTTGAGCAGATCACTAATATTTGTGTTCGTAAATAGCTCGATACTTTATAAAGATTTTAAATACCTACCCACATTTGAAATCTGTACAAAAGCAGCCGGTTCATCAGATATTCCGTGCAAACGAGCGGCTGGTAAAATATGCAGTCTGCGGCGAGCCTTGTTTATGTACGGAGTGCGCCCGCAGATTATGCGTTCGCATCACATTCGGACAATTTAAACGACAATATTTTGAAAATCAACTGCTATGTCACGTTTTAGCCACAGGATTATCTATCACAGGTTAGATAGTAGTTGCTAACGGTACTTTCACAAAAAGAGAGTTTACAGAAGGATTACTCAACCCTATTTTGGATTTTCGCGATTGTCACTTGTTAGATAGACATGATAGCTGCTGTCGAAAATCTCAAAGTATAAGAATGTCAAAACAACACAATCTGATTCAAGAACGTATTATGATTATATGAGCCAATTTTAATCAAACAAATATGACGTTCGTGGCAACCACCGTCTCAGTTACCTTGAGTTATTCTGAGATTCGAGTTTTCGCCAGTTTTTCCGACTTGCGCCGGCCTCTAAGGCCACCTTGGTCCTTGACAAATTTTACCTCCAAGCTATCTCTCTAATCATCAGCAACAGTATTATTATTTCCCGGGAGGGAGGTTTCATTACGGCTACATCGAATTTCTCCCTCCTGTCCAATTTAATAATGCTGATCTAATTTTCATGAAACAAAACCTGCTTTCCATTGATTAAGATATCCAAAACAAACAATATAATTGGGAGAAAACTTGCGAAATAGAGTCGGAACTGAATTAGGGATTTTATGAGTCAGATAAATGGAATTTTTACAGCGACAATAGTCAAACCACTCATTAGAAACTGCAGAATTAGGAAGATTTCCGACTAAAATCTGATACCAGGGTTCATCGGGTCGTTAAACGACGCGGTGTCCCACTCGAGAATATGAAGAAAAAGGTTTCACTCCTCAAAAGATTACTCAAACTCTCCCGGAAAAGGAAATCTATGATCTCATGTTCAGAAAACTTCCGGGATTAAACTACGCGCACGAAAGAATCAAGTGGTCGAGATTTTGGTGGTAAAAATCGGTGCTCTGGTAGCTCGGTTGGGAGAGCGTTGGGGCGGTACCCCACGATCCAGGGTTCAAGTCCCGGTCAAAGCAAAAAGAATCTACCTCTTACGAACTACGCGCATTTCGATAATGTTTATGATGTATTTTATCATTTTTAAATTGTGTGTATGTAGGTTATCGATGTTAAAAGTGTTATTTTTAAATGTACTTACGAGTATTTATTTAGTAGTACCTATATTTCTTAAGAGGTAGAGAATTAAGTAATTGCTGAAGTGTAACCCCGGGTGGTAATGAGATTGTTTCCGGCGTGTAAACATGTTATCTGCTCGAGTTGGCTGCCACTTGCCATCGCCACGGTCTCACTTCGGTGACTTCAGTTCTAGTAAAGGGTCTCAATGACGGGTTGATATCGAAATTAAAGAAAACCAGTTGTTTGTGAGGTATTTGAGTTCTTTTTGTTACATTTGAAAGACTTTATTTATGCAAATTTTTAGTGGTGGCACGGATCCTAAAGCTCCAGTTTTTATTGCATAGGTCTGGCTATATCTGAGCGATGGCCTGCACTAAGCCGAGTCTCCTGCTAAATCTACTACGTATTTCTAATAATATAATACATTTTGTATGAGAGCGGCCTGCCACACAAAGGTTCCGGGTTCAATTCCTGGTGGGGTCACTCACAAAGTTGATATTTATCACTTTGTGAATTTGTTCCCAGTCTGGTTAGGACATTGCAGGCTGAACCACCTGATTGTCCGCAAGTAAGATGGTTCCGTGCTTCGGATGGGCACGTTAAGCCGTCGGTCCCGGTTGCTGTCTATGATGGCGATCGTTACACAACCATGTCAGAGGCCTGCTACTTGCAGTAGGCGGTTGAAAAACTCTGACACCAGGGTTCATCGGGTCGTTGAACGACTCGGTGTCCCACACGAAAAAGAAGAAGAAAGAATTGAAAACCTTTTTTCCTCGTCGTGTCACCGTCGACTTTGTGATGCTGGCCTAGAATAGCATCTTATTTCCTCATGGGTATTGTAAAAGGCGACTAAGGGGTGAATCCAGGGAATGGGCAGCAGCGTTCCCTGCGAATATCTATAACACCTTGGACAGCGTTCTCCAATCCGCATAACGTAAGAAGCGACTAAGGGATTTGAGAGTTGATGTATTGCAATTTTAGGCGACAGGCTGACAACCTGTCGCTATGGTGACAAACGTTCTTCTGAATGACTCACGAGCTTTTGTCAGACGTGGTGTTTATGGCCATTTTTCAGCCGTTTGCGTTCTTCCTTCCCCGCAAGTGATATAGACGTGAGATATGTATTACCTAGTTCCAGTAACGTATTACCTAGTTTAAGTATAACGCAGGATTCCTATCCACATGTCGTACGTTTCTTTCACTAAATTATAATTCTTTCAATCAATTAATTAATTATGAGACCTTCTTCCCTGTGATGCACAGAACTCTAACATGCATTGTATTAAATATCGGTATAATAATTGTAAAAAGCGGTAAGCGGTAAGCGGTTCTTATCCGTTAAGGACTACTATGTGTAAAAGTGTCTGGGCGTATCGGAGGCGTCACTAATTGTAACTTATTTGTCTCTGAAAGGACCTGGGCGTGTACACACTTTGATAATTTAGCCTTCCCTTGGTCGTGCTTTTGTTTGCTTACTTTGAGAAGAAAAATATAGAGCTGTACAAAATTTGCGTTGCTTTGAATAGAGAAGTTTTTTGAAGTTTGTATTTGAAGGCAGTCGTTGAAAGTACCTTCCTACCGAGTTGAGTAAGATAAAAAGTTGTACAAGTACAAGACAGCTGGCACAAACACAATAAACAGGGTTTAGTTCCAAGCTCTAAGGTTCCAAGTCAGTATTATATGTTGTATATAATACAGTGTGTTACCGGCAAGCGGGGATTTATTCAAACTGATGAATTAAGATATTTATACAAAAAAATGGGGCTATCTGTGTAATCACGAAAAAATACTGACTTTTCTATGGAACAGCTGATTGATCTTTCTTATTTTGACGCGGATTTATTTACAGTGCGGATTATTTGAGCAGATAACTAATATTTGTGTTCGTAAATAGCTCGATACTTTATAAAGATTTTAAATACCTGCCTATATTTGAAATCTGTACCAAAGCAGCCGGTTCATCAGATATTCCGTGCAAACGAGCGACTGGTAAAATACCTATGCAGTCTGCGGCGAGCCTTGTTTATGTACGGAGTGCAACCGCAGATTATGCGTTCGCATCACATTCGGACAATTTAAACGACAATATTTTGAAAATCAACTGCTATATCACGTTTTAGCCACAGGATTATCTATCACAGGTTAGATAGTAGTTGCTAACGGTACTTTCACAAAAAGAGAGTTTACAAAAGGATCAATCAACCCTATTTTGGATTTTCGCGATTGTCACTTGTTAGATAGACAGGATAGCTGCTGTCAAAAATCTCAAAAACAACACAATCTGATTCAAGAACGTATTATTATTATATGAGCCAATTTTTATCAAAGAAATATGACGTTCGTGGCAACCACCGTCCGTTACCTTGAGTTATTCTGAGATTCGAGTTTTCGCCAGTTTGTCCGACTTGCGCCGGCCTCTGAGGCCACCATGGTCCTTGACAAATTTTACCTTCAAGCTATCTCTCTAATCATCAGCAACAGTATTATTTTTTCACGGGAGGGCGTTTTCATTACGGCAACATCGAATTTCTCCCTCCTGTCCAATTTAATAATGCTGATCTAATTTTCATGAAACAAAACCTGCTTTCCATTGATTAAGATATCCAAAACAAACAATATCATTGATAGAAAACTTGCGAAATAAAGTCGGAACTGAATTAGGGATTTTATGAGTCAGATAAATCGAATTTATACAGCGACAATAGTCAAACCATTCATTAGAAACTGCAGAATCAGGAAGATTTCCGACTAAAATCTGATACCAGGGTTCATAGGGTCGTTAAACGACGCTGTGTCCCACTCGAAGAGAAGATGAAGAAAAAGGTTTCACTACTCAAAAGATTATTCAAACTCTCCTGGAAAAGGAAATCTATGATCTCATAAGTGAAAATAAGAAATAGATAAAATGACATGCATCGACCGGGGATCGAACCCGGGCCGCATGGGTAAACGCCCCACCGCTTTTATCTATTTCTTATTTTCACTTGTGAGAATAATATAGCACTGTGAGTGCATTACAATCCCACTATGATCTCATGTTCAGAAAACTTCCGGGATTAAACTACGCGCACGAAAGAGTCAAGTGGTCGAGATTTTGGTGGTAAAAATCGGTGCTCTGGTAGTTCGGTTGGAAGAACGTAGAGGCGGTACCCCACTCACGATCCAGGATTCAAGTCCCGGTCAAAGCAAAAAGAATCTACCTCTTACGAACTACGCGCATTTCGATAATGTTTATGATGTATTTTATCATTTTTAAATTGTGTGTATGTAGGTTATCGATGTTGAAAGTGTTATTTTTAAATGTACTTATTTATTTAGTAGTACCTATATTTCTTAAGAGGTAGAGAATTAAGTGATTGCTGAAGTGTAACCCCGGGCGGTAATGAGATTGTTTCCGGCGTGTAAACATGTTATCTGCTCGAGTTGGCTGCCACTTGCCATCGCCAGTCTCACTTCGGTGACTTCAGTTCTAGTAAAGGGTCTCAATGACGGGTTGATATTGAAATTAAAGAAAACCAGTTGTTTGTGCGGTATTTGAGTTCTTTTTGTTACATTTGAAAGGCTTTATTTATGCAAATTTTTATGAAATATGATATCGTTTGCTTCGAGTGGTGGCACGGATCCTAAAGCTCCAGTTTTTATTGCATAGGTCTGGCTATATCTGAGCGATGGCCTGCGCTAAGCCGAGTCTCCTGCTCAATCTACTTCGTATTTCTAATAATAAAATCCATCATTTTTCTAATAATACAATCATATTTCTACAGCCACAACAGTCCACTGCTGGACAAGATTTTCCTAAATTGGAGGAGAATTGCCATACCCACCACGCTTGTTATGTTACGACACGCATGGGAAAGATATGGGGTGATTGATTGGGTAACACGGCAGATAATCAGACAACTGAAACCGGTACAGACTATTAGATAACAAGCAACCTTGAGCGACGATAGGGCAAACTAATTAAAGCAACACTTTTGAAGAGTGCTTCGAAACATCAGAGCCACGTCACCTCACCAGGCTCTTCAATTAAGCTTTGGAAGTCAAATTGATTGACACCTTTATGTAGATCAAAGACCAATACATTGAGGGATACTAAGTAGAACTATCGCCAGAATATCAACCTACCCATCTAAGGGACCATACTGGTTTTTTCATACATTACTTGACAGCCGATGTGGCGCAGTGGTTAGTACGACTGCCTGCCACGCAGATGGTTCCGGATTCAATTAAATTTCCGGGTTCAATTCACAAAGTTGATATTTATCACTTTGTGAGTTTGTTCCCAGCATGGTTAGGACATTGCAAGCTGAACCACCTGATTGTCCGAAAAGTAAAGATAGTTCCGTGCATCGGATGCGCACGTTAAGACGTCGGTCCCGGTTGCTGCCTATGATGGCGGTCGTTACACAACCATGTCAGAGGCCTGCTACCTACTTGTAGTAGGCGGTTGTAAAACTCTGACACCAGGGTTCATCGGGTCGTTGGGCGACTCGCTGTCCCACACGAAGAGAGAGAGAGAAATACATTGCTAAAAAAACAGTATAACTAGAACCAGTTTACATTAATTCCTTTACGCACGCACGATATGGTTGGTATAACCAGGCCTGGCGCACTCCGCTGCGTAGGTATAGATTTACAAGTACGTGCGGCGACACCCGCGGGGAGGTTAATCAGTGGGTTGCCGCACGCCGCTCGTTACGCACGCGCTCCCACGTTGCCGCTCTTAATTCTTTCTTTGTACTAAATTTACGTAAATTACGCGAAAATGAGAATAAGAAAATACTGCATTGCTTATAATTGCTTAAATAATTTTTAGTGATAAAAGCCTCAAGTTCCACAAGTTACTGCGTGACATCGAAACGTAAGAAAATAGGTACCTACATAGATTCTAGCTATGTAA